TGATGCATGACCGATCAACGACCAATTCGGCTCTGAACAAATGACAGACCTAAACGACCTCCTTTCAAAATTCCCGCTGAGAATGCAAGGTTCGCATACGTAAAATGCGTGGATGAAAATCAATCGTTTTTGAACCTCTTTTTCATTCAATTTGGTCCTTGATGGTCAAGGGGACTGCGATTGTGACTGTGTTAAAAAAAAATGCGAGATGGAAGCCTACTTTTGCAAATACTAAATAATTCCTAGATTTACTTAAACTGACGCAAATTCATTATCTCAGTTAAAATCAGTCAAAGTTGGTTCCATGTCCACATGAACGTAGGGAACATGTTCGCAGAGAATCATGCTTACTAGGCCGCGGGAAGATGTGGTAGGATGGCCAGTTCCTTTCCGCCCCGACCTTGACTCCAACATGCTGACGTCAGCATATCAGTACTCATTCACAGCTGAGTCGACTGAGATGAGCGGCGGCAGGGCGCGAACCCAGGACTTTGCGATTGGAAATCCAGCGCTCTACCACTGACCTACCCACCGTAAACTAACAATTCCAATTAGTTTAAATGCCTGTAAAAGATTCATCTTTCACAGAGGACGATGGAAGAAAGCGAAATTCTTGAGAACAAGAAAGATCAAGACGTATTGGATGTTAATTGTATGACCAAGAAAGGCGTAATGTGTGAACGAAAATTGGACTGTGCTTTTTAACTTTTGCTTTGAATAAAATCTCTTGGTATGTCAATGTTGGGTATCAACGTGGCCAAGTAAGACTTTACACTCTAAAAGCCAATAATGCATTGTAGTAGATGCCAAAAATATCGTCCACACCTCATTAAGATGTATCGACAAAGACTCAAATAAATTCACTTGCCGTAAATGTGCTGAGCTCACGTCACCATTGCATATACTGGAAAAATATCAAATGTGTTAATTGTGAAGGTCCCCATCAGTCTGGCTCTGCTGAGAGAAACAGCATGAAGAAGGAGACTGAGTCAGTAGCATATACGAAAAAAAATGGAGATAGTTATAAGAGGAAAGTGAAAAGTTAGCACAAAAGTTTGATACTACGCTGAAGCAGAAACTAACGCCAACTCTAGTGCAAGAAATGTCAGTCAACGGCTTGCAGCTGAAGGTTAAGAAATTGCTGAACTTAAATTGTCAAGTAACTGAATATTAAAGTTTATCACTTAAATTGGTAGATGAAATGGCAGAATCATTCCAGCATCAACATCTTAAGGAGAATGATACCGAATCACAGTCCGTATCGCACCTCCCGTCCAGGCGACTCCTGTGAGAACTCCGCCTGGCTCTCGATCGGCTTCTCCAGAGAGGGGCAGACCGCACTCTGCTAGTCATCTCCCTCGCAAGGAGAAACAGGACATCGAGGCTTCTGTCTGCAAATCTTCCCGAGAGAGGTCCCCGAGAAGCCAAGAGGAGGCACCCCCCCCAAAAAAAAAAAAAAAAGAATGTCGGACAAGGCACTTTAAAACCCCATAAAATGTACTTTACACTTTACACAATGGAATTGTCGAAGTCTTAGAGCTAGAGTAAATTACCTTAAATTATTAGACTTATATATTCTTGACATAATAGTCCTCCAAGAAACGCACTTAACTCAGCGTTAAGTATACAGTTCCATGGTGGACACCAGATATCCACAGGGCGTTGTGTGAGGGTAATAGGGCTTACAAGTTTTTCAAAAATTGTTTCAGTAACGAAAACTTTCGTAAAGACAAACTAGCGAGAGCTAGGTCTCGACGAACAATAAGACAAGCGAGTAAAGACTCCTGGCGGAGTTTTGTCTCTACAATAAATAGTAACACATTAATAACACAGAAATAAACATCATTCATGTGGGAACAAATTTCTATTCACCTAGAGACATTACACAGTGCACTCGCCAAGCAGTTCTCATGTACAATCAGCTCAGACAATTACCATCCCGCATGTAGGAAGCAGCTGAGCTGCAGCCTACACACTTTGTCACAGATGACTATTATATTACAGTCCAGATCTAATGAGCATGTCCGAACCCAAGAAACCTGTAGAGGAACGTTCCCAGGCCGCGATGAGATTAATCATGCCATGATTAAGTTGCTAGATGTGTACAACGAAATTTGAAAAAAAAAAACATTTTCCACACTTATGGCACTTGCCCACATCATTCCCAAGTTGAAAGGAGGGAGAAATCCCAGATCCACCATCTCCTACCGCCCAATTGCGTTGACAAGATGCTTATGCAAATCCATGATACGAATCATTAACGGTAGGCCCTTGCATTTTCTAAATCCCAGATATTTGCTAGTTAACGATCAGTGTGGTTTCCGAAATTGACGCCAAATAGACGAACGGACGGAGAAACAAAACACTAAGCAGAAGTATGAATTAGACTATTATCATTATTATTATCAATATCATTATTATTATACCATTGTCAATTTACTATTAGAATCCCATACTAACTAATATCACCATTATTATGATTAATATTATCGTTTTTATTATTATTATTATCATTACTGTCACTCTTGATCCTTCGAGGTGGGAGGTTAAGAAGCAAGGAAGAAGGGGAAGCGAGAGGATAAAGAGGGGTAAAAGAGAAAATAAGAAAAAAGGGGTTTAAAGAATAAATGGAGATAGGGTAGGGGGGCTAGGGGGAGACTTTACTAGGAAAAGGGGATGGGGAAAGGGAAAGGGAAAGAGGGCTCAGAAAAAAAACGGAAGGATGGGGGAGCGAGGAAAGAGAATAAAAGAAACGAAGGAGGGAAGTGGGAGGGAGCAGATGTAGGGCTTAAAGTAAGGGAGAAGTGAATATAAGGAAGATTTAGGAGCGTAAGGCGACGAGGAAAAGTGAAAGGTAGAGGGAGATAATGATAATGATAATGGTGATATCAATAACAATAATTATGATGATTATTGTAATGATAATGATAATATAAATATTGATGACGATGATGGCGATGAGAATATTAATAATAATTATGATGACAGTGATAATAATAATAATAATAATAATAATAATAATAATAATAATGATAAGGGCAATAATAACGACAACAAAATTATAACAATAACAGTAATGATAATAATAATAACAATAATGATAATAGTGATTATAATAGTAACAATAATGATAATAGTAATTGTAATAATAACAATGATGATAATAGTAATGATGGTAACAATAAAGATACTACTTTTAATATTGATAAAAATAATGATTATAATAATAGTAATAAGAGTAATAATAATAACAATAATAATAACAATAATAATAACGATAATAAGAAAATATTGTTATTACAATTATTATAACAGTGATGATAATAATAACAATGAAAATGATAATGATAATAAGGAAGAATTATAATAACATTGAGAAAAAATATAATAATAATAAAAATAATAATAAGAAGAAGAAGAATGATTATAATAAAAATAGTAATGATAACATTAATGATAAAGATATTAGGTTGTTAGATTATGATAGTAATAGTAATATAATTGGAATAATCGTGGTATTAATAGTTATAACAATAGTAAAAGTGATTATTTATAACCCGTAATTCATTGTTCGTGTGTGTGTGTGTGTGCGTGCGTGTGTGTGTGTGCGTGTGTGTGTGTGTGTGTGCGTGCGTGCGTGCGTGTGTGTGTGTGTGTGTGTGTGTGTGTGTGCGTGTGTGTGTGTGTGTGTGTGTGTGTGTGTGTGTGTGTGTGTGTGTGTGTGTGTGTGTGTGTGTGTGTGTGTGTGTGTGTGTGTGTGTGTGTGTGTGTGTGCGGGTGTGTACGTGTGTGCGTGTTCGAGTGTGTAATTCACCGTATTAATGATTATCAAATGCTTTTATAATGCCACTGGCCAATTGATCCATACCCAGTGTGCCTTATGTAAATCAGCCAAACAAAAAATCTTCTACGTCACTATTATTATACCCTGACAGAGAGACAAAGACGACCGTGAGTTTACAAAAACAGCTTCATTATCAAGAGAATTGGTAATTCCTTTGTCACTGTTATAGTACGTGTCATAAGAAAGTTTCAGATTCAGTCCTCTTTCAATATCTCCGTTTTACATTTTACATATCTTATATATATATATATATATATATATATATATATATATATATATATATATATATATATATATATATATATATATATATATATATATATATATATTACCATGTACTAGATGTGTGTATATATATATATATATATATGTATATATATATATATATATATATATATATATATATATATATATATATATATATATATATATGTTTTACCATGTACTAGATGTGTATATATATATATATATATATATATATATATATATATATATATATATATATATATATATATATATATATATATATATATATATTACCATGTACTAGATGTGTGCATATATATATATATATATATATATATATATATATATATATATATATATATATATATATATATATATATATATATATATATATTACCATGTACTAGATTACTTGAAAATAAAAAAGATTTTAAGCATTAGAGCAAGTAGGGTGCACTAAGATGACCTGCCTTAATACCCTCTCTCTCCATTTCTCTCTTTCTACACCAGTATCAAAGATATGGATTTTTTTCCTACGGTAATAAAACAGCGGCTAATATCTCAGACTCAAAGAGTTCCCAGAACTGTATACAAAGCTGTGATTGATAAAAAAACACAACATTCCAAAACTAAAAGACTCCTCTCTCATAAATACAATCTCGTAGACCAACAAATCACGTAAAATCATACACACAGGGGGACATAACCACAACCAACACATTTATGCAGAAGTCCCCCCATTAAATAAAGCCCGACCAACGTTTTCTACGGTTGTGGGGACATAACCACAACCAACACATTATGCAAAAGTCCCCCCCTTATATAAAGCCAGCCCAACGTTTTCTACGGTCCTCCTCGTGTTGGTGGTGTAAGCGCTCAGTCCCTTCAGTCAGTCAGATGTAAACAAACGGTGAAGATGGCAGAGGGATTGGTGGTGGAGTTTCAGAAGTTTAATAAGAACGCCAGACACTTAAAACGCTTGCAGAGGGAAACTTTACAGTCGATTGAAGATGTGGGCTTGTCGGGGAATTTGTCGGAAGGTAAGTTGGTTTAGTTTGGAGAAAGTTTTTAGGGAGTTTTTGGAGTGGGAGTGACACGGAGGGAGAGAAACCTGTCAGAAGACCTGGGTGGTTTTCTTTGGTTTTCTTGTTCTTTTTTTCTGAAGGTGGAGGGTTTTCGATGGGTTAGGAAGGGGATGGGTGTTCCGGTTTAGAAGGGTGGGTGGCTTGGTCAGTGTGGATTTTGGAGGGAGTGGGTACTTTAGGTAAAAAATTAGAAGGATGACAGGAGCGTATGATTCATGGACAGACACTTTGAACTTGTGGAATCGGGTTCATATTTTTTTAGTAAATACAGACAATCCTTGTTAATCAATACGCTTTTAGACTATTTTTATGTTGTATTTAATACTAATTTCACCATTCAGTACTGTATTGGTGATGTGTATTCTGTTGTGTTCTTTTTTAAGGAAGTATGTGTAGCACTACAGTCTTAGCATGTGATGTCATATATATACACAGCATGTATGACTTTGTTAGTATGTTATTTACATTGTAACGAAAGAAAATGGCTCATGATGGGGGAAAAAAAATATGTGAGAGGGATATGATGATGATGTAATAATATTAAAAGAATGATTACGCTAAAAACTTGTGTATTACTGATAGTTTGTTATGGTTTCTTCAGATTAATCCCTTAGCGTGTGTTACCTTGATCTTACATTGCATCATAGAATCAGATCAATAAGTTGCTAATTGCATGAATAGATTATATTGATGATATGCCCCAGTCTGTAATCTTTTGCACAGTTCAGCATAAATTTCATAGTAAAACATAATGTGAACTATTATAGCTGTGAGGCCTCAGTTTTTGTAGGACTTCAAAACTCACTCTTTCTTCTTGTCTCCTCATATGTCTCTCACAAATGGGCTCAGTGTGTATAGGCTTACTTGTCTACTGAAGTCATGTTATTTCCTGAACATCTAAAGTATCATATTGTATTAGTATGATTTCATTCTCTGTAGTATACTGAGGATTCCTTGAATGAACTGCCACAGAAGATATATGAATGAAAAAGAAATTAGATTATAGATCAGCTGCTTTGGGACTTTTGTCAAAAATAGTTAGATTGCATCAGTGCACAAAAAAAAAACATAAGATTTACATAATTTTGCCCTTTGAAAGATTTCTTCATCGTCATAAATTATTTATAAATGTAAAATATGTAAAAACAATTGTTCTTCAAAATTTCTTAGTGAATATCATACTTAATAGGAATAAGTATTTTGCTGTATGATTTCATTTGCATATTGATCCAGCTGATTGAACCATGATTAATTGCTTTTCAACAGATTATAAACTTAAGGATTATCTTTGGAAATAACCAGTATTAATTAAGGTTTTCATATTTTCTTATATTACAAGTTATTACAAAAGAACAAATAAATTTTGCTCTGGCATGTGCTCTTATTCTATTCAGGGATTATTAGATATACAGTTTTAGTCGTCTAGATCCCTTCTGCCTGCCTCTCCTCCCAGCAACAACAAGTAGGGAGTAATTTTTCAAGTTTCACTGAGCTAAATTTCAGTCTTTAATTTTTCACAGCAAGAAATCCAAGGGGAAGAGTGGAGAGGATGGCATAGTGGGTATGGCTGGAGCAAATGAGTTAGGCAGAGCTAGATTCATTAGCTTAGGATCATTATGCCTCATTCACAACTTACAAAGAGGTAAGAAATCAGCCTAATATCTAGAAACTGTGAGCTACTAGGTTTACTACATCCCATTCACATGAAAAGAAAAATAAGTAGGTAGGTTGCTTACCTTTGGTCATCATTCACAGGAAGGATATTGGGTGATAATATTGATGAAGTTATTTCCAAAGATGATTCTTCTGCTTACCTCCATCAATTCCTCGCAATGGGAAGTGAAAACTAAATTGTATGCTGATCACTGTACATATAAAAATTTATATTGAAATCTCCTGCATTACAGAAAGAAGAAATAGTTTCCTTTGCTTTTCGGGTAGGTAAAGTTTCCCAACAGATTGAAATTGGCTGCATGATTGTATTTCTATTTTATCTTCACAATATTTTTTTAATTCTTCTTTTATGTTTATTTTCTTTGTCTTCTCGTCATCTTTTTCTTCCTATCGTTTTTCTTCTTCCTAATTTGGGCTCATCACAAATCGAGTCATTTTATATGTTTGTTTTTTGTTTTTTTCTTTTTTTATATAATGCACACTTCTAACATATGCTGATATGATAAAGCATGTTATTTTGATTTACCCATTAAATTAGATATTGATATTAGATATGTGACAAATTGGGTCACTGTTTGTTTGCTTCATTATTAACAGCCATGAACACATGTTTTTTTGTGAAATTTCAGCCGTTTTTTTGTGTGTGTGTGTGTGTGTGTGTGTGTGTGTGTGTGTGTGTGTGTGTGTGTGTGTGTGTGATTGTGTGTGTGTGTGATTGTGTGTGTGTGTACATATATATGGGGAGTTTATTGGTTTCCTTTGTTTATCATGGGTTTTATCAGTTTATCATGGGTATTATAAGTTATCCTTTGTTGTTCATCATATTGACTTTCCTTGGTTTTATTAGATCACAATTATTTAAAATCATTTATTAGTTTATCTTAGTCTTATTGCCATATATTGGTTAGTCTATTAGTTTTCCATGATTTAACCACATGCCGCTTCATCTCCATGAGTATTAGCCATTTGTGGTCAGTTTCTCTCCTTCTCTCTTATATCTTTAATAATGATTAAAAATGCTAATGATTGCAGTTGTATTGCTAGTAATTATAGTGATGTTCATTAGTAAGCCTACGAGAAAAGTGGACTTTGCAATACTGTTGCTAGTTAATGTTAATATTTTTTTTTTTTTTTTTGATGTGATAATTGAAATTATATTTGCTTTGATATGTTATATTGGTTCATATGCACAGTTGATGTCATTGTCCATTTATTTACATTAAATATGCTCACAGATCTGACATGCCTTTCATGTGATAATGTAGAAAATTTGGAATGTAAAAAAGTTAAGGATTTTATTGTTATTATTATTATTATTATTATTATTGTTGTTATTATTATTATTGTTATTATTATTATTTTTTTATTATTATTATTATTTTTATTATTATTATTATTGTTGTTATTATTATTATTATTATTATTATTATTATTATTATTATTATTATTATTAGTGTAGTTGTTTTTGCCTTCATTTTTATAATAATGATAATTGTTATTATTATTATTTGCTACTCTTTTTCTTTTTGATTTCTTATTGTTGACATTTATTATCAATGTTATGATTATTATTGATTATTGTTGTTACTATTATTATTGGTAGTAGTACAGGCATTATTGTTATCATCACCATTATTATTGTTATATTTTTTTATTACTATTATTGTCATCATGGTTATGCTGCATGTTATTTATAATGTTATTGTTATTATTATCATTATTATTATTATTATTATTATTATTATTATTATTATTATTACTATTATTATTATTACTATCATTGTTATTATTATTATTATTTTATTATTATTATTATTATTATTATTATTATTATTATTATTATTTTATTAGTCAATTATTGTTATGATAATTGTTGTTATTATTGTTATTGTTATTATTATTATTATCATCATCATCATCACCATTGTTCTTGTAGCTGTTACTAGCAGTAGTAGTAGTACTGTTATAATTACTATTACTTATTATTATTATTAATGATGACAATGTTTTCTTTTTGTTATTGTTATTATTGTTATTATTATTTTTGTTTTTGTTGTTTTTATTATTTTATTTTTTATTTTTTTATTGTTGTTAATGTTTTGTTATTATTATTATTGTTATTATTATTATTATTATTGTCATCCTTTTTTGCTATTGTTGTTGTTGTTTTTGTTTTTTTTTATCATTACTTTTATTGTTTTTAGTGTTGTTAATGTTTTATTATTATTATTATTATTATTATTATTGTCATCATTTTTGCTGTAGTTGTTGTTGTTGTTGTTATTATCAGTATTATTATTGTTATTATTTTTATTATTATTATTATTATTATTATTATCATTATTATTATTATTGTTATTATTAATATTATTTTTTATATTATTATTTTTATTATTGGTGTTGGTATTATTATTATTGTTGTTATTGTTATTATTTTATAGTTATTGTTATTATTAATATTTTATTATTATTATCATTATTATTACTGTTATTATTGTTGTTATTATAATTATTATTATTAATATTATTATTGTTGTTGTTGTTATTATTATTATTGTTATTGTTGTTGTTGTTTTTTATTGCTATTGCTGTTGTGGTTGTTGTTATTATAATTATTGCTGTTATTATTATTATTAGTAGTAGTAGTAGTAGTAGTATTGTTCTTGTTGTCATTGTTTTTATTGTTAGTAGTGGTAGTGGCTATTATTGTTGTTGTTTTTATTATTTTTATTATTATTATTATTATTGTTTGTATTATTATTATTCTTATGGTTATTGTTATTATTATTATTATTTTTTTTTTTATTAATATTATTATTGTTATTATTGTTATTAACATCATCATCATCATTATTAGCTATTGTTATTGTCCCTATAATTATTGAAGTTGCTGTTATTATTTTTATTATTGTTATTATTGTCATTATTGTTTTTTTTATAATCTTCATATTAATATTTATATTAATATTCTTCTAATTATCATTGTAATTATTATTGTTAATATTATTATTACTTTTGTTATTTTACTTTAATTATTATCATTGTGTTATTATTGTTTTTATGATTATTATTTTTATCAGCACCAGCATTAGCAATATTATAATCATCATCACTATCATCATCACCATCATCATCATCCTTATTATTATTAACATCATCAACATCCCTATTTATCATCATGATTAACCTCATCGTGAGAATCCTAACCATTAACAGACAGTCATTTTACAGTGATGCATATCTGTGTTGAGAACTCGTGTTAGTGGTAAATTTTATATCAT